AGAGAGAGAGAGAGAGAGAGAGAGAGAGAGAGAGAGAACAGAACACCATATACAAGTTTGGTTTCCACATTGTACAAGTTTGGTTTCCACATTGTACAAGTTTGGTTTCCACATTGTACAAGTTTGGTTTCCACATTGAATCAATATTAATTTGAGCGTCTGACATTTACCCTCCCAATTAAGTTTCACCAGTACACCATTGGAACTGAAATCAAACATAAAAAATACTGAGTTTCTCTAACTACTATTACAGAAGCGACATGGAGTGTTTGAAATGGGAAACCAAGCATTAGAAACAGAGTAACCTCTAAATTATATCATAACATCTTTATTATGTTTCGGCATGTTGGAGTGTGCCTCTCCATTTTAAGGCCAGAACCACAGTCCAACTCCAACCCGATGTGGTTTTTTTGTCGTTGCAGAAGGAACTTAATGCACCGGACAAGTTAAATTGATCGTCTGACATTTTCCATCCCAATTAATGTTTCCCGGCTCATCACTTTCCCCAACCATAACAAAAGATACGACTCGTATATAGTTAATTCATTTTGTTTTTATTCCAAATCAAGAGACATTGACAAAACGTCAGGGGCAAGGCAACGTCCAGGGCTTTTACTTAAATCAAACAGATTATATTTGAAATGCAAATTAAAAAATTCCAAACATAGTTCTCTCTAAATACTATTTCGTCTGCAACAATGATGGGATTTGGTCTTCCTAACGTTCACAGCGTTCCTCTCTCTCTCACGACCAACCTCTCTCTCTTTCCTCAGCGTTGGATTCACAAGCCCACTGTTCCCGTAAAACCGGCAAGAAAAACCCACTTGGCCTGTGTTAGGACGACTGAGACTTGTGATGAACTTGAGAGAACTCGTCCATTGGCAAACTTTTCTCCCACTCTTTGGGGAGATCACTTCCTTTCTGTTCCCTTAGATGGTTCTGTAAGCACATGCATGGTGACCCAATCTGTTTTCAAGATTGTTGGTTTAGTTAATATTATTCTTTAAACAAATGCATTGTATCTTTGCAGAAATTTGATGAATTGTCAAGAGAGATTGAAGTGATGATGAAGCCTAAAGTGAGAGATATGCTCATGTCTTCCAACAAAAGCGACAATGAGAAGATCCATCTCATCCATTTGCTAATTAACCTCGGAATCGCTTATCATTTCGAGGCTGAGATTGATGAAATCCTTAGCCAAGCTTTTCTGGATGTGGAGGACATGATAGCCAAGGAACATGACTTGGAGACAATCTCCACCATGTTTGAGGTTTTCAGACTACGCGGTTACTTTATGCCTTGCGGTATGGCTATTTGTTACCTTGATTCACATATATATATACATATATATATATATGTATTACACATATATAATTTGGCTTTTGGCTTCATTGTAGATGCATTCAATAGATTCAAAGGTGAAGATGGGAGGTTCAAGGAAAGTCTAGCTGATGATATCAGAGGGATGATACAGTTGTACGAAGCAGCACATCTCGGGACACCATCTGAAGACATAATGGACGAAGCACTAAGCTTCACTCGGTATCACTTGGAATCATTGACAGGTCAACATGCAGCAAGTGATAGTCCCCATCTCTCTAAACATATACAAAACGCACTGTATAGACCTCGATATCGTAACATGGAGATACTAGTCGCAAGAGAATATATCTCTTTCTACGAACAAGAAGCAGATCACGACGAGACGCTGCTCAAGTTTGCCAAAATCAACTTCAACTATTGCCAGCTACACTACATTCAAGAGCTAAAAGATTTGACCAAGTACGTTGTGGTAGTTCATTTATTCAGTCTTGGTATATATATTTGTCAGTGTTGCTGTATTTGAACATTTATGTTTTGCAGATGGTGGAAGGAGCTAGATCTTGCATCTAAGTTACCTTACATCAGGGACAGAATTGTCGAGATCTATTCCGGGGTACTCACTATGTATTTCGAGCCAAAGTATTCGCTTGGGAGAATTATAGTCAATAAACTTACTGTGATTGCGACTGTTTTGAATGACACATGTGATGCATATGGCACTCTTCCTGAAGTTACAAGTCTCATTGACTCTTTTCAAAAGTATCGTCTTTAAATTTTCACTCTTATATTTATTTACTTGATTACATTTAAGAGTAGGTAAAATGGTGTGCAAAGTTTATTTTTATAGGTGGAATCTTGGGGACACTGAGAAGCTACCAAACTATATAAGAACTGTCTTTCGAAGTGTGTTTGAAACGCTAGAAGAGATTGAACAAGAAATGATGCCTCGAGGAAGATCACGCATTGTGCAAGTAGCAGTAGATGAGGTGAGTCCTCCAAATTGGGGTAGCAAATATTGTCGGTCACATTTGTGTATTTAAGAAAATCTGAGTGCTTTGCATATAGATGAAGAAGTTGGGGAAAGCATACTTGACCCTCTCAAAGTGGGCACGCACAAGTCACGTCCCAACATTTGAGGAGTACATGGAGATTGGGTTGCAAACTTCAATGGATCAATTTGCAGCCTACAGCTTCATCGCTATGGAGGATTGCGATGAGTATCAAACATGCGAATGGTACAATTCCAGACCCAAAATGATGGAAGCTTTAAGTGGCTTGTATCGTCTTAAGAACGACATAGCCACCTATGAGGTAACAAGACATACAAAATCATATGAAAACCAAACAATCACATCAACAACAAGTTTTGTCTTTAAAATTAAATTAACATATGTAATGGGATAAGCAGAACGAGATGAGCAGGGGAGAAGTGGCTAATGGGCTGAATTGCTACATGAAGCAACATGGTGTTACCAAAGAAGAAGCGATTGCAGAGTTGAACAAGATTGCTACTGATTATTACAAAATAATAATGGAGGAGTACTTAACGACAACCGTTGTGCCACGCCCGATTCTGGTGCGATGCCTCAACGTTTCGCGACCCATCGATCTGTTTTACAAAGAGGGTGATGAATTCACTGATCCTTATTTCGGAAAGCTCAAACAAGTCATCTCTTCTTTGCTCATCCATCCAATTCCTCTTTAATAAAGTGCATTAAAAAAATTTTAAAAAAAAATCTAAATAAGACGCTTTGTATTCTTCTAGTTTTTTTTTTTTTTTTTTCTAATACCCTACCGTATCAGCCAAGGCATATATCATTTGTGGGTTCTTTGTTTCTTCGCTGTTAGAGCATCTCCAATGGCATGCATGTCTGGCGTCACCCTGGCAACCAAACAAAAATAATTTCATGTTTATTTAAACAATTCTGTATTTTAACGATCATTCTGTTTCAAAGAGAAAAAAACCCAAGCGTCGCAGAGAGAAAAAAAAGAAGAGAAGAAAGAACAACAAGAAGCGGCCGTCAAGCTTGTGACCGGCGCGTGGTGGCTCATATAGCGCCGGCGTCGGTCACCTCCGTTGTTTTTTTATCTAGCTTTTCAATTCCAGCTTTGTCTTTCTTAGTCTAGGAAGCGTGGAAGTTTTTGGTGTTGGTGAGAAACTAAGTTTTGAGTCTTAGATCTGATGAGATTTGGTTATGGGATGCAGATCTGTGCAACATTAGAATGATTCTCTTTTAACTTGGTATCTCCCTGGCCTCCACTGTCTTCGCCTTTTTGTAACCTAGTTTCTCTGATCAGATTGTACTCGTGTGAGATCTGGTAACATCAGGTGATTAGGTTCTCTAGTTTTCTTTTTTTGGACAGTCGTTTCCTTCGTTTGGGCTAAGTTTCTCTTCCTCAACTATTTCTCTTGGTTAGTTATGGGTTGAGCTTTGTTTATGTCTGGATTATCTCATTTGGTATTAAGCTTTGTTTAGCTTAATTACCAGCTTGCTATGGCGTTGAAAGGTTCTAAGTGGGTCTCGTCTATCTTACGGTTTCATCCGGGAGACCCTTGACAAAACACTCATAGAGAAAGATGCATCTTATGCGGAGAAGGCCAAGTTCCATTCTCTTGTTATGGCCATTTGTGTTGAAACTCGTTATCATCCTTTGGTATGCGGGAAGTCCTTATGGTTTTTCGAGAGCTAAATCAGTCTCGAGACAAGATGTTTTTGGTTTAAACAATGTATCTGTAAAATCCTTTCCTGTTCTATTTATAGGTTATGGATAGATCATTGTGTCTCTGTAATTTCATTATCGTCTTTATCTTGTGATTTGTAATCTTTCCGAACTTTGGTTATCAATATAATCCTTTCAGTGAAAGAAAAAAAAAACAATTATTCTGTTTTCTGTAACTTTTAAAAGTTATGGCATAGTTTAACCATTTTAGACTTTTTTGTATATTTTCTGTAGTTTAAGAAAATAAATTGTTCACGTACAGTATAAACATATTTTATTTTTATTTTCAAATACAAAATCAATTACTATATCTCTAATTTTTACTCATAATATAGCTAATAAATAAAGATATAAATAAGTTGCAAAAGAATAAGGGGGTGTATTCAAATCATGATTTGGAAGGATTTTGTGGAATTTATAATATTTGAGATTTTAGGAGATTTAAGTGAGTTTTTAAGGTATTTTGGTGGATTAGTTATATTTTTCTATTTTAAAGAAAGGAAAATAGTTTGAGATTTGGTGAGATTTTAAAAAAAATTTAAAAGTCATTGATATGTGTAAAAAGTCCCAAACTCTATTTAGAAAAGTTATTGATATGTGTATATTGACTTTAAAAGTTGAGATCAGTTTTCTTTTATAACAACTAGGGCTGCCAGCCCGTGCGTTTCCGCACGGGAAAATGAAAAACTTAAAAATAATTAACATTGTTAAATAACATTTTTGAGTGGAAAATTGATTAAGATTAATTGTATATCTTTTTATTTAATTTACAAATTTATTTTTTTACCTTTTCTATATTATAATATATTAGATTTGTGAGAATACGAAAACTTTCTTACAATTTCATTTTTATCCCTTGAATGATATTTTTCCGTTGGTATCGCTGCATTTTAATACTGATGTTCCTAGAGAGTCAAAAGAATTCAACATTTCTGAACGGCCATTTTTTACACTTAACATGCCCCTTCTTTAGCTTTATTTAGAAAAAAAAGTTGTCAACGAAAGTATGAAATGAACTCCTAGCTACTGCCCTTAAAAGAATATCAAAGATTCAAGCATTTTCTTTTTACAAAATCTAAAAACCTTTTTGGATAGAAAGCTCAACTATTTCTTTCATAATACATGTTCCAAACACCTACGAATCATTAGTCCCATAAAACTAATAAGACAACTCTACAGATTCAACTAAATTCAACATAATATTATAGGAACATAAATAATGCCTAAAGAAACACAATTGTTGGATATAAAACTTTGCAACTTTTGGGATCATTAACAAATATAAACATTTAGATGAGATAACAGAAACAATAACGAAGAGGTAATAACAATTAATACCTTTACGTGATGATAATGGCTAAGCAAATTGCAGTCAAATAGGATTGGAAAAACAAAATTTGAAGAAACAATTGTTTCAGGAAAATATTTTTTTTAAAATGAAATAAAACGAAACAATCAATAGTTTTTTTTAATAAAAACAAAGAGTTGTAGAATATTTATATTTGAAACGTAATGGTGTGACTGTGAAACATTGTATTGATTAAATTACAGAGGTTTTTATTAAAAGATAGGGAAAATTCCATAAAAATTCCCCATCTAATTTTAATTTGGAAGTTTAATACCCAATGTTATTTGATTGGAAATAAAATGCATGGTTTATTAATTTTTGGTCTATTAATACATTAAGTATATAAAAATTGTCGAATCGAATAAACCGTTTAATCGGATTGACGGAATCACTAAACCGAGGTTGACGAAATTACTAATCCCTAAACACACGGGTAATTTGGGGTTATCCAAAGACTGCATTGTCCTTTGCTATTATCCCAAATCGAATTGGGATCGATAAACCCTAAGTTTAGTGTAATTCCATTAACCTCGGTTTAGTGATTCCGTCAATCCGATTACCGTTTGTTAAGCGGTTTCTTCGATTCGACAATTTTTATATACTTGATGTATTAATAGACAACAAATTAATAAACCATGCATTTTGTTTCCAACCAAATAACATTGGGTATTAAACTTCCAAATTAAAATTAGATGGGGAATTTTTATGGAATTTTCCCTTAAAAGATACATCTTTTTAAAAAGACATATTTAAAAGACACATCCTTTTAAAAAGACACATTTTGGCTTTCATAAATTCTAATATTAAACAGTAATCTTTAGATCAAATGAAAAACAATCTGAACCGTTAGATTCAAAAGATGACATCAGCAGTAAACAAAAAGTGGGTTTGCTATTATATATAGATTTTAGTGGATTTAACAAATATGTTTATTTTTTATTTTTGAATTAAGATTTCTATAGATTGTCACTGATTGCCGTGATTTTTTTTGTATTTACTTTTTCTTTTCCTATAACTTTCTTCATTAGGATATGTGTTTATGCTTTTCTATAAATTTTCATTCCAATTTGGTATGTTTTTCTCTTTTGCTAAATTTTGATTTTGGTATATTAAGAAGGATTTTTTTTCTATATCAAGGAATTGTTTCATTGACATCATTGCTCTTTATTATTTTTGTTGGCATAAAAAAACAATGGGTTTTAAATTATACCATTATATTTTGATATTTTCTATATTTGATGAAAAAGTGTCAAGGTATAATTTTATTTTGTTGGAATAAGTCCCCAATGACTGGAGGAAAACATAATGCAGAACAGTAGTACACATATACATATACAACTAGAAAGAAAAAACTACAATGAACTGGAACAAAGAAAAATGTTATTGACTGATGAAAACGAATCAGATTTAGTCATATCTTGAAGGTGAACGTGAATCATATGATCTGTGTGAACCATGAGACCTCGGTGAACCTGAAACGTTTGATCGTGGAAGATGAAACTGAGGATGAAGATATTGAGGATGTTGTTCCATTGGCACTCTGAGATACCTGCAGTTCGAGATCGTTACCTGTAAGTTTTGAGACAGCAAGTTTAGCTCTGGAAGACGCTGCAGATTCTGACAGTCATTGATTCTCAGGTTTCTTAGAGCATTCAGACCATACGAATGTTCATTTGAGAGCTGAAGAGTGTGCAGAGATGTGCAGTGATCAATTTCAAGGTCGGCGAGGTTTTCGAAACGGCTTAAAGGAAATGTAATGAGAGAGTCACAGCTGCTTTTTATGCTTAGCGTTTGAAGGTTCCCATAGTTGTATTCGTGGTGGTCTGGCTGGAAATCTAAGAAGCCACATTGATGGATGTGAAGAGAGATCAGAGAAGGAAGTATGGTCGGTATCCGGGTTAGCTCTGGGCATCTCCGTATGTAAAGTTTCTTGAGAGAAGGAAATAAGTCTCCTCTTGCGACACTTACATCTAACCACTCTTCCCAATCTGGCAAGTTATCAAATCGCAATGTTTCAAGCGATCTAAATGGCTGTTGTTCTCGATCGCGCAGTTGTAGATCGCTGAAGTAGAACTCAGTACCTATCCGTCTAAGCCCAGCCATTCCTGAAATGTAAAGTTCTTTGAGACCTGGTAATTGACCAAGGGATGGCAAGGAGGAACAATATTGGCACTCTCTGAGGCGTATGAACACAATTCTAGAGAACGAAGAATCATTCAACCATTTTGGAAACCTTCTTCCTTTGTATCTCTCAATGGTGACTTTCTCGATATGACTATGCGGGCGTAACTTCTCAAAGACCTCAGCTTCATTTTGCGTCCTGTGAGGATTTGTGTTGCTCTCTAAGCTAGTAGATCCAGTTCTCCAAACAAAATCTATCTCCTTCAGATATTTTTTGCTATATAAGTTTGCTCCTGCAGCATCGGCGACATCCACAACTCGTTGTAGCTCGACTAATTTAAGTTTTCCATGAAGTTCATGAAGCTCTCCAAGGTCACAAATCCTTGCACCGTCACTAGCACTTGCAAAAAAGGTTGTAAGCGTCTGAAGGCTCTTCAATCTACCGAATTTTCGTGGCATTTGTCTTAGCTTTGTTCCATACAGATCAAGATACCGCAGATTGATGAGGTTGCAGATGTCTGTAGGAAGCTCCTTCAGACTGGAACAGTAGGAGAGAAGAAGTGTCTGGAGGTTGTACATATAACAAAGGGATTTTGGAAGTTTCTCGAGTTCAGTGCGAGAGAGATCCAAAAACCGAGTATGACTCAAATTCCTGAAAAAATCTGGCGGCAGCCTTGCGATCTTGTAATGTGACAAAGACAAAACACGCACGCGAGTAAGCATTGAAAGTAAATTCGCGCTGACCATTGTATCTAAATAGCATGACCGAGAAGAATTTGTGAGGCTGAGTGGTAGAAAAGTTCTGAGAAACTTGACTTCGCGAAGAGCCTCAAACTCCATAGGCTCAGCATAATTATCTCGCAGGTACGATAAATATCTGGTCCTTTCTGAAACCTTAAGTTTGTATCCATCTTCAAATTTTGAGCTGAACTCTCCTGAAGCAAATTGAGACAACTCATTGATAAAGTCATGCATAATATATCTCGTCTTTGTCTTTTGAAAAAGCGACCTTGACTCTAATTCAGAAAAGTACTCATCCCCAAGCTCTTCTAGATTCTTACTGCTTCTCGTCTGTTGCAAGAAACCTTCTGCCATCCACAAAAGAATTACCTTTTCCTTCTCAAACGCATGTCCTTTGGGAAATATCGAGCAATAAGCAAAACATCGTTTCAAGTGAGCTGGAAGGTAGTAATAGCTTACTCGTAAAACTTGAAGTAGGTTGCTCTTATCAGCTGGAAGATCCCAAATCATGCTGCTCAAAACTCTCTCCCATTCTGTAACTTTACCTTCAAATCGTAGAACGCCACCGAGTGTTTTCACAGCCAAAGGCAGGCCGCGGCACTTATGCACTATCCTTTCTGCAAGATCCCCAATTTCTCGATCTAGGCACGGATCTTGGTTACCAAATACAGTTCTTATGAACAACGACCAGCAATCTCCATCAGATAATGGCTTAAGGTTGTGTACATGGACAGAACACATATTGGATGCGACACGTTGGCTTCTTGTGGTCACAAGAATCCGGCTCCCTTGAGCAGCAGGTATGAAAGGTTGGCGTAGAAGATCCCAATCCACAAAATTTTCATTCCACAAATCATCTAAAACAAGCAAAAACGGTAAACCTATTAACCTCTCCTTTAATTTGACTTGAAGTACATCCAGGTCGGTGAATTCGCAAGGCCGGGAAGTAACGGATTCATAAACCTTTTTGGTGATCTTAAAAACGTCAAACTCCTCCGAGACATGAACCCATACTCTAGTTCCAAAATGACTCTGAACACGTTGATCATTGTATAGGAGTTGTGAAACTGTGGTTTTGCCAACCCCTCCAGTGCCAACAATAGCTATAACGGTTAACCCGCTATCATTTCCATTTTCAGGAATCAAATATCTCATGATTTCATCTTTATCATCAGCTCTACCAAACACTTCAGATTCATCCACAAGAGATGTTGTTGGCAACCTTTTTTTGGGTGTCATTGCAGTAAGCTCTTTCAAACCCAGGACATTTCTTTGTGAAGCTAAACGCTCAAGCCTCATCGTGACCTTCTCAAGCCGGGTCTCTAAATGTTCACTACTCCCATCAAGAAAATCTCCCAAAGACATTCTGCCACGAAGCTGTCTCAGCCTGTTGGAGGAAGAAGATTCAGCTCCTATGTTGAGACGCAGAGCTTCTGTGGCAATATCATCAAGAGCATCTTCAGCATGGTAAACAACATCTCTCAGCTCGTTGACCCATTTTTCCACCACCGAGTTTGTAATCTGCTTATCCTCTGCATCTATCAGAACCGCACTTATTGTCAACAACGCAATGTTGAGCCTCTCTAGTACATTCTCACTCAGTTCCCGCCTCTTGAAGAAGTTCTTGAAAGGTGCAGACATCAGCGTCTGAAAGAGAGATTGTAAGAAAGCTGAAAGAACCATCTCTCCTACAATCATCTTGTCTGTATTTGCACACAAGAAAAAAGAGATCAACAGCAGGATGAACAACTTCACAACAGGCTATTTTATTTCTTCAGTGTTATTTACTCGAAGAAATCAAAGGTTCCAATACGAAGAAAATATAACAGTTTGATGGAATATTCAAAGAAACTAACCTTAATTAAACAAGGGAATGAAATTCGTTTACTAAGTTGACTTGACAAAACACACCATGAATCATGCGACCGAAGTGAATTCTATAATCTCCAACAGAAACTACCAGGAAAATGATTGGAAGTTGTCTGCATTCCCGTGGAGAAAATTGGTGATAGCCTGCAACGGAAGGAAGCTTTTGAATTAGTCAATGTTTGCTTGAGAAAATGCTCTGAAAATTCTGATTAGTTACAATGAAAATATAATAATCAATAGGTAAAAGACGACTTTATATTAACAAAGGGTCATCTTCAAAAAACGAACAAATAATTAAATTCTAGACTGATTCCCTTGTGAGCTGGCATGAGAAGTCTTGGTCCACCAACTAAGACAAAGTCAATATTACAAGGTAACACACAAAAATGCAAAACCATGAATTGAATCAAGGGGGAGTCTTCGTAAATGTTTAAATAGGCATTTAAATGATATTTGTCTTTTATAGGGACAAGGCGTGAAAGGTCTACAAAGCCTTTCTGCAACTCGATTGGCTTAGGCAAAACCCAGATTAGACATGTAGATTGAACAAAACTTGTAAACTGGGATTAAAATATCATGACCAATAAAATATTGTGTGAATTTTAATATAGTTTCTTTTCTTGTTATAGGTTGGATTGCATAATTGAGATGGTGAATTCAATCAACCATTTGTCAAAACTGTCTAGAGATAATATATATAAATTAGAGAAGATGGTGTGATATATAAGAAACTCACATCACATGGTATATATTCGTTAAACCGAGAGTTGACATGACCATTTCTTCCCCTGGACCCTCTTAGGAACATCAAAAATTGGAAAATTGGAATATTATGCAGCTGCAGCCAAACCCTTTTTGGCTTCTTCATCTGATCTAAATGCTGCACATAGATCTCAAAATATAGACACAACGCAGAACATAAGTGGACACAGAACAAGAAGACGAAGAAGAAGAAAAATTATGCTCTAACATATGCTTCTTAAAAGGGAAAAGGAAGAAGGCAACCAAGAGAGATAGATTAAACATCAAACCGCATCCAAAAGATATAAAGAAAAGAAAATCAGGTTAGATTCACCTTACCTTCCCCCATGGTTTGGTTTGTCTACTTTTTCTTGAATGTGACTCGTTGAATCCTCCATGGCCACTGCAAACAAAATGTAATAACACTTTTAGCAAACAGGGATATAAATAAGAGTTTTAGGCAAAATGTCAGCAAAATTATGAATCTCCAGAATCTTGACATCATTACCACTTGCTGCAGGTCAGCTTGACAAATTGCTTAAAGAACAACAAAAACCCCTTTCTGCTTGCTTTTTCCAATAATTGGCTTGGACTTTTTCATGCGTAACTTGCTGCTGCATATCCTTGGCTCCACAAGTTACAAGGAAGAACATGGCGAACTCCCATTTATCAAGTTGTGTGAACATCATGGTGGAGCGGATTAATACTTCTCCAGAATTACTCGAAGTATGTAAAGGAAAGTCCTCCAGTGTATTACTGAAGCGATTGAAAGTCGCTTTGGTGACTGCAAACCCGGTGCTTGCGGATGCCGAGCAGAGAGCAGAACATGTTCGAGAAGTAAAACATTGGCTTACAGGAATCCAAGATGCTTTCTTCCAGGCCGAGGATGTTCTTGACGAGTTACGAACAGAAGCTTTGCGAAGAAGAGTAGTAGCTGAAGCAGGAGGCTTAGGAGGACTATTCCAGAATCTCATGGCTGGTCGAGAAGCCATCCAGAAAAAGATTGAACCAAAGATGGAAAAAGTAGTTAGACTACTGGAACATCATGTGAAGCACATCGAAGTTATTGGATTGAAAGAATATATCGAGACTAGAGAACCACAATGGAGGCAAGCATCACGGTCAAGACCTGATGATCTTCCACAAGGCAGAGTGGTTGGGCGAGTGGAAGATAAGCTAGCGTTAGCCAATTTGCTGCTTTCTAGTGATGAAATAAGCATTGGGAAACCAACTGTGATCTCCATTGTTGGTATGCCAGGGATTGGAAAGACTACCTTGACAGAGATAGTCTTTAATGACAACAGATTGACAGAACACTTTGATGTTAAAATGTGGATCTCTGTTGGGATAAATTTTAATGTCTTCACGGTCACAAAAGCTGTTCTGCAGGATATCACTTCAAGTGCAATTAATACTGAGGATCTACCTTCACTTCAAATTCAACTGAAGAAAACATTGTTGGGGAAGAGATTTTTACTTGTTCTGGATGATTTCTGGTCTGAAAGTGACTCAGAATGGGAAAGTTTTCAGGTCGCCTTAAGTGATGCAGAGGAAGGAAGCAAGATTGTTCTAACCACACGAAGTGAAATTGTCTCCGCAGTAGCAAAGGCTGAAAAAATCTACCAAATGAAGCTGATGACGAATGAAGAATGTTGGGAGCTGATATCTAGATCTGCTTTTGGAAATATATCAGCCGGTTCTATCAACCAAGAACTAGAAGGAATTGGCAAAAGGATTGCAGAACAGTGTAAGGGCTTGCCATTAGCTGCAAGAGCCATGGCATCTCATCTCCGTTCAAAGCCAAATCCTGACGATTGGTACACTGTATCAAAGAATTTCTCAAACTACACCAACAATATCCTTCCAGTTCTTAAATTGAGTTATGACTCTCTCCCTGCTCAACTTAAACGATGTTTTGCCCTCTGCTCGATATTCCCCAAGGGTCATGTGTTTGATAGGGATATATTGGTACTCCTGTGGATGGCAATAGACCTCTTATACCAACCAAGGAGCAACAGAAGATTGGAAGAGATTGGAAACGATTACCTTGAGGATTTAGTTGCTCAATCTTTTTTTCAGAGATTGGACACCACCATGACAAGTTTTGTGATGCATGATCTTATGAATGATCTGGCAAAAGCTGTTTCAGGAGATTTTTGTTTCAGACTGGAAGATGACAAAATTCCAGAGATATCAAGTATGACTCGACATTTTTCATTTTCTAGAAGCAATTGTGATGCTTCTGTGGCTTTCAGGTCCATCTGCGGAGCTGAGTTTCTGAAAACCATTCTTCCGTTCAACTCGCCAACAGGTCTTGAATCTCTCCAACTAACAGAGAAAGTTTTGAATCCTTTGCTCCAAGCATTGACCAGCCTACGAATTCTTAGTTTGTCTCAATATCAGATAACCAGCTTGCCTAAATCATTAAAAGGTTTGAAGCTATTACGGTATCTGGATCTGTCAAGCACCAAAATAAAAGAGCTCCCAGATTTTGTGTGTACTCTCTGTAATCTGCAGACACTTTTGTTGTCAAATTGCCGTGACCTCACAAGCCTACCCAAAAGCATTGCCGAACTCATCAACTTGCGCTTCCTTAACCTTGTTGGCACTCCTTTGGTAGAGATGCCACCAGGAATAAGAAAGCTGAGAAGCTTGCAGAAGTTATCTAATTTTGTTATAGGAAGGCTGAGTGGAGCCGGGCTGCATGAGCTCAAAGAACTTTCTCATCTTCGAGGGACACTTCGCATCTCTGAGCTACAAAATGTGGCCTTTGCCTCTGAAGCAAAAGACATTGGTTTGAAGAGGAAGCCATTCCTTGATGGGTTAATCCTGAAGTGGACATTGAAAGCTTCTAGCTTCGTCCCTGGTAATTTAAATCCATTGGCATGTGACCAGAAAGAGGTGCTAAGGATGCTAGAACCTCATCCACAGTTGAAAACGTTATGCATTGAGTCTTATCAGGGAGGAGGATTTCCTATATGGTTGGGTGATTCTTCATTCTTTGGTATTACATCCATCACTCTCAGTAGCTGCAACCTCTGCATATCACTTCCTCCAGTGGGGCAGTTGCCTTCACTCAAGTACCTCAGCATTGAAAAGTTTAACATTCTGCAGAAGGTTGGTTTAGAGCTCTTCTTTGGTGAGAACAGGTCTAGCTATGTACCGTTTGAAGCCTTGCAAACTCTAAAGTTCTATGGCATGCCAAGATGGGAAGAATGGATTTGTCCACAACTACAAGGTGGGATATTTCCTTGCCTCGAAAAACTCATAATACAAAGATGCCCCAACTTAACAAAAGAGTTTCCAGAAGGACTCCCTTCTACCACTGAAGTCACCATCTCTGATTGCCCCCTAAGAGCAGTTGCTGAAGGAAAACATTCCTCCACAAGGAATCTGGAAAATATTCTAGAAAGTCCAGCCAGCATTTCTTCTATGAGCAGAGGTGAACTGTCTTCCTCTACATGGAATCCAAGATTGGATGCGAGTACTAGTGCTCAACCAGATTTAGCTTCAAGTAGTCAAAGTACGGATGAAAACGAAGTAACTTCGACGTCAAGCTTGTCATCTTTGCCAAAGGACCGTCCACTGTCACAAATAGAAGATTTAAACCAATATGAAACTCAGTTTGAAAGGGCACATAAAAATATTGAAGAACCTGCTGTGATCTCAGCAAGATACTCAGGATATATCTCGGATATACATAGCTCGTTAAGTCCATATATATCAAGAACATCGCTTGTTCCAGATCCCAATGATGGAGGTTCTGGTCTTCCTGGAAGTAGTAGCTACCAGTACCAGGAATATGGAAAGCTACCTGTCCGGAGTCCACCGTCAAGTGATGTAGATAACAAAAGGCTTACACAACATAATGATGAAACAGACATGGAATATTTGAAAGTGACAGATATCTCTCACCTCATGGAGCTTCCCCAGAATCTGCAGTCACTCCACATTGACAGCTGCGATGGACTCACTTCCTTACCGGAAAGCTTAACGGAAAGCTATTCAAATCTCCAAGAACTGATCATCATTGCTTGTCACTCTCTGGAATCTTTTCCTGGGAGCCACCCTCCAACCACATTGAGAACCCTATACATAAGAGACTGTAAGAAACTAGATTTCTCATATAGTTTACAGCCAACACGGAGTTACTCACAGCTCGAGCACCTGTTCATCGGAAGTAGCTGCAGCAATCTCCTTAGTTTCCCTCTATCCTTGTTTCCAAAGCTCACAAGCCTCTCCATTAGGGATTGCGAAAGCTTCAGGACTTTCTCAATTCACGCCGGACTCGGAGACGACCGTATCGCTCTCCAGTCTCTTGAAATTAGGGATTGCCCAAATCTGGAAACTTTCCCACAAGGAGGACTCCCAACGCCGAAACTCTCTTCAATGTTACTCTCAAACTGCAGAAAGCTCCGAGCTTTACCGGAGAAATTGTTTGGACTCACTTCTCTCTTGTCACTGTTTATAATCAAATGCCCACAAATCGAGACAATCCCTGGTGGAGGGTTTCCCAGTAATCTCCAAACCCTTTGCATCAACCTTTGCGACAAGCTCACGCCGAGAATCGAATGGGGGTTAAGGGACTTAGAAAATCTTCGAAATCTCGAGATTGAAGGAGGAAACGAAGACATTGAATCGTTTCCAGATGAAGGGTTACTCCCAAAAGGGATTTTTTCTCTGAGGATAAGCCGATTCGGAAGCCTCAAGACACTAAATCGTAAAGGGTTTGAAGATACGAAAGCTCTCGAGACAATGGAGATCAACGGCTGTGATAAGCTACAGATATCGATAGATGAAGATCTTCCTCTTTCCTTGTCTTGTCTGAGAATAAGTTCATGTTCATTGTTGACTGAGAATTTTTCTCAAGCAGAAACAGAGTTCTTCAAGGTATTGAACATTCAACATGTGGAAATCGATGGTGATATCTTCTCTTGAGAAAAGATTACAGTATTTATTTATTTGTTACACACTAAAGACCTTACTTGATGTACACGACACTGTAAATTCACAATTTTTACCACCGTTGGAGCTCTTCTAAGATTTGATATTGTATCTCAAAACAATTGTCTTTTTCCAGCTATGTTGATCTAACCTTGGAAAAAAATAGGTGAAAAGTCAAGAACTTTCAAAACCAAATGCTCCAAAAATCCCTTAGAGAGAAAGATGATGAAACAAATGGAAGTATCTCAGTCAAAACAACAGAAAGCCTAACAAGAACTTCAAATTCAGAGGCAGGATCATAGCGTTCCCAGCCACTAACATAACTGGAGATTAACTGTTCTAATACGTAAAGATAATTGGAAAAAAATTACTGAAGGAAATGAAATGTTTGCAGTCATCTCTCCTCTGAAACACCAGCTAGTCGGGTCTCTTTCTAGTTTGTCGATGGTGGTCGAGTGATTCTTGGCCTCACTGGTGTCTTTGACGGGCTTACCCTGTAAAAAAAGAAGGTATAAAGCCATATGTAGATCCAACTGAGACATTCAGAGAAAGCTTTTTAAGACACTGCATCGATCAAACCTACCTTATAGGTTGGGAACCAACGACCATCCCGCTGCAGTTGAGGGCCCTAAGTGCACTATCTGCCTGTTCATTCAAAAAGAAAAACAATTACAAGTTTCTGAGTTTGCAGGTAAAAACAATGCCAAGACATTGGGTCAGTTATCTTTCATCCCCTAATCGAACATTACACTAAAGAAACTTCTTGTCATCAGTAAAAGAGCAAAATAAAAATAGGGAATGTATTAAGTTACAGTGATGGGAGAAAAGAGTTTACCAGAGCAAATTCAACAAAAGCTATGCGAGTAGAATGCAACTGATCACCAAGAAGCCTCAGACGGGTTACCTGCATATTAGAACACAACTTAAGCATCACTCCTTAAAAGAAAATATCAGGATAATTAACAAATAAGAGAGATGTGAAATAGTATAGGTTTCTGTTCTCACTTCACCACATGCTGACTCAAAGAAGCTTCTCACATCAGCTTGAGAAACCTGCAATTGTAGAAAAGAAATCTTAAACCTGGAGACATCAACAAAAGTAAATATAAATTTTTGTTAGATAGTTCAGCATTTACCTTCTTGTCAATATTTGTGCAGTAGATTGTCCTTGAGCACATCTCCCTTTCATCTTCCGACTGAATTAATCCCAACGTAGTAGATATAAAAGTATAAATTCAAAACTCATAACTGAAAGCAAAATGATTAGTTGAACTTCTGAGCAAAACCCCTTTTGAGCTCTTACCCTGGGAAGAAAAGTGGGGTTCACTGGGAGAATAGCAGTTTTTGAGGGTAAGACCCTCACCGGGTAGAACCCAAGCATTGTTCCACCAAGGCTTAAAGCTTCCCGTGCCCCCTCTGTAGAAAATTATTTACTATGTAAATGGTTACTATTTATGAATTTTTTTCTAAGCATTTCAAGAATCAAGAAGCCAAAACTTACGGTCATCAGCAAACTCAACAAACGCAAATCGAAGAACTGAATGTGGATCACCACAGATTCGACAGTCAACAACCTTCACAAGATAAGAAATCACTGTTACTTCACAAACTATTCTGTTCTATACCACCAAATTAACTTTTTGATCATGAAACTTCTTTCTACACAATCTTGCAGTAATAAACACAAAAACCTCACTTTCAACAGAAAGTTTTTTTCAAGTTCATTAGTACCTTTGGCACAGCCTTAATGTATATTTAAAGTAAACACGTCTTTTAAAATCCATTAAGTTGAAAGAATATATAAACAACATTAGGTAAAGCTTACTTGTCCACAGTTACTAAACAAGGCAGCAAGACCCTCCTCGGTCACCTAAATCACAAAACAGATTTGTTACATTGATGCAAATTAACTAGCATTCATTCGAGAACCTTAACAGAGGCTTGCAACAAACTTACACTCTGGTCAATGTCAGAAACATATACTGTTCTCCTAATACTATCCTCTCTTTGAGCCTTAGAAATCCTCCCAGTTAACCTCCTCCTCCCTTGGCTATAGTTTCTTCTCTGTAATCACAAACATCAATAAAACAAAACAAAAAAATCAAACCCATTTAGTCAAAGTTAAAAGCTTTACAACAAAACAAACATAAATTTGTTTACCTTCCTGATATTGTCGTCCTTTTTGGCATCAGGATCAAATTCTTCACCTGATTGCTTCTTGGTGATGACAAAATCGTCAGCAGAGAGAAAGTGATTAGCTTTTCCCACCTGATTGTTCTTCTTGGGGTTATAGTAAGAAGGGAAAAACTCCTTGGCCAATGGATTCAGTTTCTTGAACATGGCCACAAGCGTCTGCATATCCAACTCTGATTTGGGTTTCAGCTCTATTTTAGCCTCGATGATCGAGGTCTTCTCCATTCCCTCAGAGATGATCTTTTCACCATCACTTTTGATATTAATTTCATGAGCATCGTCCACAACAACATCAGTGGTGGGCTTCTCAGTGACCGCAGCCATTGGATCAAAAGAACTTATTACTCACCAGAAAACAGGAAACAGAGCCCAAATAGAAAACAAGGAAGACAAAGTTTTATCCTTTTCCCCGTAAAAATTATCGTACAATCCGACGAAGATGATCCAAAATGTTACACTCTTAATGGGGAAAAAAACTCATTTAAGAGAAATTGGACAAAACAGAACAAGGAAACACGAGAGTGGTTTGATCTCGTAGATGTGTATATCAACAAAACGTTTAATGAAAATGCATTAAATTAGCCCATGAAACAAAATTCAGAAAGCTTCTGTGTGGTGTGGTTATGGTGGTGAGTAGTGACCATCTAAGAAGGAGATGATGAAAAATAATTAAAAATAAATGGAATGATGATTTATTTCATTGCCAAAAAAGACATATTTAATTATGTTTGAGTCCTTATATTTTTCTATTTGTATGAATTACCTCATAGTTTACTTAGGCCATCATTATTGATGGTCTTAGGTCAGTTTTTTTTTGAGAATTTTGAACTCAAGTTATTTTGAAAGCATTCTATATTTCGGTGATCTAGCAAACTAATTTTAACAAAGAACATGTGCACATTTTGGATTTACCAATAAAAAATTGTTACAAAATTTCAGTTTAAGTAAGTGAAGTTGATATATCATCGAAAGAATCGTATTTTAAAGTGTTTTCTACAAATTATTTCAAAATTATACTTTCATAAGAGTGAGAAAAGAGACTAAACAAATTTTATTATTCTTGTTGTAAAGAGACATATTTAGTTATTTGTGGGTCTTATTGTTTTTTTTTTTTCACAAACTGCCTCATAATTTACGTAAGTCGTAAACTACAGTTTCCAAATTTCTTAGATTTACAAAATAATCCTAATGAATGAAAAATAATTTGCAAACCTTAGATAAATTGAATGATGTATTATCTCAAATTTCAATGCAATTTGAGTGTAGCTAAGTGAAGTTGATATCACATATAAAGTGAATTGTTTCAAATTTATATTTTCATAAGAGTGCAAGAAACTAAATAATTTAAAATGTCATTCTTATTGTAAGAGACATCTTTAATTATCTTTGTGTCCTCTTAATTTTTTGCTTTGCACACAAAATGCATCAAAGTTTATAATTAGTTTTGGAAAATTTTAAAGTTGACTAAATTTGGCCATATAGCAAACTAATCTAATACTCCAAATTTTGAATAGACGGATTAGTAAATTGTTTCAAATTTTGAGGTAACTAAATGAAGTATATGATATAAGGAATCAATAAAGTGACAATATCAACCATGCAGAAAACCCTCAAACTTAAACATATAGGTCCGTTGAATCTTGCATGCTTTTAGTAAAAGTGATGCATAAATAATGTGTGTTTGTTAGGATATTATCTATGTTTTTCTTTAAATAATTTTTTTGTATAAATTTCGTTTGTCTCGTTCTTCTCCGGTATATCCAATTTTTTTAAAAAGAAAGTACTAGTATAATCTAAAATATCGGCGAATCAAATATCAGCTAATTCAACAACAGAATCCACCGTCTTCGTCGAAACTAGAAGAATAGAGAATTAATGAAATTATTATTAGTTATTTATTCACTCATTTTATTGTATAGACTGTATATTCTCATCGCGTGATTTTCTGGATCCTTTTATTTATTTATCGATTCAATTTTTAGAAAGAAAAGGTCAATTATGATAAGGTCCCCTACTCTTTGTAGTTTTCAGTATTTAAAACGTTTTCCCCTTCGTTGCAATGCAAACAAACGACTCGACATGTCACACAACAATGGAAGGATCTGTTTCGAAAAGTATTTATATTTTAATTGCGTAAAAGTAGATGAATGGTCAAAGAAAATAGTATTTATCTCAGAAGCGTTTGATTGTTTTAACAAGAAAGTTTCAAAAACAACGTATATTGTATACACATTTGATGGTTGAACCAAAAAAAAAAAAAAAAAACTATACACGTTTGATGCATTACAATTAAGACCAATTGTATTTTATCTTATTTGACACCCAAACTAAGAACAACTAATGTGTCGTGCTCTTATCTTTTCTTGTATCGTAGTATATGCCATAAACATGACACATACGGTTTATGTTCTGTTTTGATGTATCGTTGTGTTGTGTACACACATGGACAGACAAAAGTTTACTTGAGTACTTGACGACACAAGTTCCTTTCGACCATAAATGTTATTCATATACATTTTCATATATACACACGTGTTGGCCATTGTATATATAAAATAAGATAATTCAATCCCTCCTCGAAAAAAACTAATCATTATCGTTGATGATCATTGTTGTTGTTTCCGTTCACCGTTATACAATAACCAACCAATCAAACACAAACTGAAAGACAAATACTCTCGATCGTGATGCTGACTGAGGTGATTTGCTAGAAGGGTTTCCAAAAAACAGTGGAGATGAAGGGGCATATATATATATATATATATATATATATATATGCATCAACATGTAACCACGTACACTCTTTTCACTACGGAGTTTGAAGAGCTATCATATTCATATCACTACTTTGGATTGCCTAATCCATAAAATTTTCCTCGAAACGTGAACAATGTATATGGTCCATGGAACTTAAGGTCTCGTACGGCCCAGCCAATGTTGCATTCCAGGAGCAGCCCAACACGGTTAGCTGTGATAATATAATGACCGCCTCGCGTTAAATTCTTTGTACAAGTTTTAAGGCCTTTCAGAAGTTCGAATTCATTGTAGAGTTATGGAATGAAGATTTTTAAGATACAACAAAGTAAAAAACAAAACGTCGTCCGGAGGTTCCAGACTCATTTAGGCCCATCAATATTCCCTGGAAATTCAGTATGACATAATATATATATGTTGGGTTTAAATATTTGGGCCCAAATAACGAAAAATAGAAACATAGAAAATGCATCGATGTTGGAGGTCTTGATTATAATAGTTTTATTCCTTTTCTATTTCTTTTACTAAAATTGTTTAATCCTTCATTTCTCAAGTGTAATTATTTTTCAAGTACGTGTAAAATAATTTGTTACGTATACAATCATATTCTATAATTCTGTTTTTTTTTTTTCCTTCTTGGTCAATTTTTGTTTGTTTGTCACTATTTCATTGCCACCGTTGTTTTACAGAAACAAAAAAGAAGAATATATATAAACTGATTCTCGAAGTATCTGAAGACGTCTAGAATAATACCAAATCAAACTAACGTACCAAAATTTATTTGGAGGCTTCGAGCTAGCTAGCGAAATCGGAATTGAGTTCCTTTTCTTCTACTTTTCATGCAAAATCAAGTTCTAAGAAACTTCCTTCAACGTTTATATTATATGAAGCATCTTTTTATAGTGAAAGAAGAATAATCAGCCACTAACGTTACGTAAGTTAAGTATAAACATACTTTAGACGTAAATATGTTGACTAGAAATTTAAACAGAAATTAACAACGTGGCCTATATATAACTACGAAATTAACTAGCAATATTATTGTAATTAAAGAGCAAAATAATAACTTAAGAAGTATAGATAACATGAAAGTATAGGATTCCGTAAAATGATTAAAGCAAAAAAAGAAGTTTCAACTGAATCGAGTGCGGTCGGTTAAAAAGGGCATTGATGACCGTTATATAAGAAACGCGTCGGAGACTCTCAAATCAAAATCAGATGATCAAATCAAAACATGTTCAAAAATATCAAATAGGTGAGTGTGCCACGTTTCGGGTCATCTTTCATGGTGAGACGGACACGTTTTCTCCACCGTGTCGTTTTCTGTCGGAAGGTCTCTAAGCACTGACGTGTCTTTTAACTAACGGTATCGTACACTTGTGGCGGCAGTTTTTTAGCCATTGCAGATTGATTTTTGCCGTCTTTTTTACTACTTTGCTTTGATTATAATTTGACAAAACATAACTGATGATATTTATTAGTTATTTACATCAATAAGCATCACACTCACAGTACATGAAATTGCCTTTTTTTTTCTTCTTTTGTCCACTTTCGGTTTTTTTTCTTTTATGTTTTATCCCCATGTTTCTCTTGACGTTTCTTGGTTTAAAATCTACGTTTAAATTATATATATATATATATATATACATATTTACCAAAATTATTATTATTGTTTTTATTTTATTTTAAAGCTTTATACATATAGTATGGTTGTAGATCATGTGTTAATTAGCTACTGGTGTATAAGGGCATCCTTCATGAGGTCTAAGATTGATTCACGATAGAAAAAGAAAAAAAAGAGAGAACAAATATTCTCTCCGCCATTCCAGGATTGTTAATTTAAGTGGGCTAGATTATATAATTTGATAGAGACATTTGCTCTTCTTATTCTTTATTAAAGTAAGTAGATATTGAACTACATGCATTGATTGGACAAGACGGTCGAATTAGCCTATATATATATATTAAAATGAAAGGAGTGCATGAATCATCAAATATATATGAAAAGTGAGCTAGTGAGTGTCCCTATCTCTTATTTTACGCACCTTCTTCTTTAATCATACCTTCTTCTTTCTTTCTTATTTTTTTTTTGTCCTCTCTCTCTATGAGAACAAGTTTTAACTATGTGGGAGGTTATGTTCGTTTCTTTCAATGATTTAAAAGCATATATAATTTTAACTATCTAGAAACAAGTATATTATATATCCAGTACAACTTTACAAATTTAAGCTTCAATTACCAACAGTTCACACTATAATTATAGTTAGTTAGATTTGATAACAATACCAGTGTAATGTACAGTCTCAACCAAAACAAAATTACAAAAATTTAACCCTAAAAAACACATATCTGGTTCAGATGAGAATCACACATCTAATAACTTCTTTGTCGACTCTCTTTCATACACTCTTGTGTTCTTCTTCATCTCTCCTAGCTTGTATGGTACCAAAAACATAGGTTTTATCTTATGCTTTTCCAAAGTTTTGTTTGCATGCATGCATGCTTATTTAGCTAGTATGTCATAGATATATGGCTCCAAACATGTATGTTTGACTTTGACCCCATCTTTTAAAGATCTTTTCGATCGTATCCATATCTCTTCACCTTTTATGGTTTTTTTTTCGTTGAATCCTTTTGTTTTGCTTGCTTTTGAGTTTTGATACGTTTATGCAGAATCTTTAAAGCAGTCTCCAGTCTTCCGTTACTGCATATATATAAAGTTGTGCTCTCAATCGCCTTTATTTTTTCTTCTTCTTCTTAGTTTTTTGGTAGTCTTTCACATAAAAGAATTATATTTTCGGTGTACACTGCAATTAATGAATTAATTAATGTGTACACTAAATTACAAAAAAAAATGTATCTTC